TGAGATGGTTTGGACACGTTCTCCGTCGTCCGCCCCACGAGCTTAGCTATGCCACCCTCAACCCGGCACCGCAGCCTACCTGGAGGCGTCGAAGAGGAGAGCAACTGAAGACTTGACTCGACACCGTCCGCCAATACATGGAGGCAGTTCTTGGACCTTCTATCCTCGGTCTCCGTCGCTGGAGAAGAGACTGGGTGGAGCTCTCCAGATCCGCTGCCACCAATCGTCACGCATGAAGAGGTACCGCCCGTGACATCATTGAGGCCGGCTAGATGAGGCATGATCACAACCGTAACAAGTACAAGTACACTGAGTTCCGACGTTTTGGATTCCACCTAGAACCTATCTGCAAAGGCACTATAAGCTACTGATAATTTGTACACTGGGAGTTGTATTTTTCACGGCTCCGCAATAGTCGAAGATGATTGTCCCATAGTGCGCTAATGGCTTGACAATCGGCATGCGGCTCCTTATCTGCCGAATTGCCGGAGACGCGCGGCAATGACGCTAATTTACAAATTGGGGCTCATTAGGCTAGAGCAGGAGACGGCAACCTTTTTGACTCAGAGAGCCAAGAAAGCAAATATTTGGAAATATATGTCACATATATTGTAAGATTAAATCCAATTAAATGTAAGTATAATAAGCCTTAGGGTTTATTCTTTTAAATAATATTCTTATAATACTTATTGTTTATGCGACTTCTGGTGCTACATGAATTCACTGATGGCTTTGTAGTGTGGTTGGTAGTTGGTAGAGTTAAGCTTCATGCAAACGTTGAAACTTTCATCGGTTAGACGTGATCATAGGGTGGAATTTGTGTATTTAAGATGGGAGAATGACTGCTCACGTAGATCCAAACAGGGTCCATACAGCAATACTCACGCTGCAGTGCGTGGTATGTGACAGGATGCGTGTTCCAAGTTTTGATTATCAGCTGGTCTTCAGGTTGAAGTTTTTTTTTAAATTTCTGTCCACATGTGCTTGCTTGCCAGCTCCACTTTATGTAGTGCGATTCTTGTCAAATCTTCATTGAATGACTTGAACTTATTCACCCACATGTCTGAGGGCTTCAGGTCAGCCACTTTTTCTTTGAAATCTCTAACAGAGACACCAGGAATATAACTTAGGTCGGCTGCGTTCAGTTAACACTCGGTTGGGTGGGTGATGAACTTAAAAAGACGAGTGTGCTCCCGAAATTCTCCAATGCGTCCTTTGAAAACTAAAACAACTGCTAGGTCAAACCTAGGGGGCCGAACCGCCAGAGATTAAAATGAATCTTAATACGCGTCTCGAAAGCAGCACTTCATTGGGGGAACCAAAATCACAAAATCTGATGTTTCTACTTCCGATTTTATCTGAGCCAGACGCAATCATCAGAAGACCCACACCTAGCTCGCGAGCCATAGGTTGCCGACCCCAGGGCTCGAGCATGGCACACATTCACACTTTTGATTAGGTCGTAATTCTCGCGACGGGTGACAATCGCGTGAGGCGCGATTTGTTTTATCCATATCTCTTGGACTCCAGTCTATAATCAAGTGCAATGACCTACTGAACCATTATTAATTAGTGGCATTTAGTTTGTCCAAAGCAGTCAGTCCCTCGGGGAGCGCGAATGCCAACTTATTATCCTATGAAATTGTTGCTTGCTGGGCCGTCATCACGCCAAAATCAAGCACGAGTGATGAAAGTTCAGCTGATCATAACCAGCATGCCGCCGACCATCAAACCTCAGCTGCAGCCATCCTCGATGAATGGGGGCGCCGTTTATTGTCACACCTCATAGAAGCGCCCGCGAGGACGCGAATAATTCAAACGGCCGCAAAAATCGATCGGTACAATCGATTGACACACGGGCATTAGGCTAGCGGTTGGACACACTTACTGGCACCAGCAGGAGAACTGTCACCACGCTCTGATGATAGAAGCGAGGTTTTCGAAATGTCAGCTAAAATACAACTTGGTCCCAGAAATCGCCATTCTTCTTCCTCTTCCGGGGATGATGAAAGGAATGTGCGTAGTAGCCTAGCGACTATATCCTATGAAT